GGAGACGCAGCTCAAGTAAACTACTGGACAGACACACACACACACAAGGACTTATGTGAGGGCCAAAGCTTAGCTCTTCGTTTTATTAGTCTTCCTGTTGTTTGTTCTACTCTGTCTTTTTCTGTTTTGTTCTTCTATCCTGATTTTTCCCATCTGTCTCTCTCTTGATGTCATCCTTCTAACTCTCCTTCTACATCTTTCCCGGTGTTTTTCTTCTCTCATGTCTGCTTTTTCTCCAGCAAAATCTTTCTTACACAATTAAACATTTTACATATTACAGATGAAAAACAAGCTGTCCCAAGAACCCATATACATTCACACCCAAGCAACTTGTTATAGATTAACAGAGTGTAAGCAAGCAGGATATTTTTCTCAGCCAGTTCTTTTGCTTGCAGGCTGCATTTTGTGGTTAAAGAAAGGATCGATTACTTTATTATTTATCTCAAAAGGTAATCTTATAAGAAATCTTAAAAGAATTTTAACAATTCTTTTAATTTAGAAACAAATCTAAACTTTTATATATGAAAACCAGTCAACTCTACTTTAAATCCTCGGGGTGCATAACCACTCATCACCAGTTTTTTATATCAGGAAGCTGAGGGCAGAAATGGGTACAAGGAATGAATTATCGCTCTTTTTTTAAGGTTTTATTTATTTATTATGTATACAGTGTTCTGCTTGTATGTGTGCCTAAAGGCCAGAAGAGGACACCAGATCTCATTACAGATGGTTGTGAGCCAACATGTGGTTGCTGGGACTTGAACTCAGGTCCTCTGGAAGAACAGCCAGTGCTCTTAACTGCTGAGCCATCTCTCCAGCCCTAATCATCATTCAAGATCGCCAACCCCATTCTAGCAAGAAAGTACATCGGCCATCAACAACCAAGCTGTTATTGTTTATGTTTCTTGACCTCAACAAGTCCCTCACTAACTATATGTGCCTTTCTTAACTTTAAATTGTTCCCCCAAATTTTCTACCTCAAAGCCATTAGCAAAAACAGCTTAACCTAACTGTACTACCAATTCTACATGCCTAAATTCTTTCTAAGGATGGGGATTGAATCACTAATCTGCTCCAGCAGCAATGCCTGAAAAAGTCAATCACTGTTATAAGTACCAGTAACACCGCCCAGTGAGGGGATAGAAACACTTGAGAGTTTCCATACAGCCCATAGATTATGAGAGATGTGGTGACCGTGGAGGCACCAATCAGAGCTATGCTCAATAACAACAGGAGATCTTCAGGACACATAGTCCTCGTGGCATTGCCTCTCCAAGGCTCACTCAGATGTGACTTTGCCAATCACCCAGCCTTGTTTCATGAGTTCCAATGCTGCCTGTTGGTCCCCTTACATGGCCCCTGACAATAACCCAGCTCCATTTCAGGTCTAAGCTCTTGACTTCCTTGTCCCCACTACTCAAGAAGTTACTGCTGTAAGATCTTGTTATCACAAGCTGACTGGCCAACTCTAGGCACTATGCCTTTCCACCATGGTGGACTGTAATTCTCTGAACCATGAGTCCAGATAAATCCTTCCTCCCTGAACTTCTGTTGGGATTTGGTCACCTAGATGAAGATAGTAACTTCTATACGCAGGCTTTCCCACTCCAACCTCTTGCCTTGCTTGGTAGTGTCTCAAATCAGGTGTTCATGTAGGTCTCATCACACTGTTTCTTTTCATAAGACCTCCTTGGTCTCTTGTTGGTCCAGGTTGGCACTGTCCATCAGAAGCATCCTGCTGTGTGGGTTTTCAGCATCACCTCCTGCCCCTGCCAAGGTGATAGAACCTAGGCAGTGGGTGTGGAGTATCACAGAACAGGGGTCAGAGGAGGCCAGGACAGAAATCAATAATTCTAAGATGCAAAAACGGCTAACCTAATTAGTGTCAGTGTTGAGACTGGAATCTGGATCTCTTGGTCTCTTGGTTCCTTTCCAGGATTCACTATGCTATGCTGCATAGCATAATGTCTGGAAGGCTCTCCCCTGTCCACCAAGGCTGAACAACACCACTGGTAGCAGTGACTGCTGATCTCCTTCTAATGCTATATGTGCTGGGGAGACCTCTGTGCAGTTGCAGGTACCAGACCTGGAAACACTGTCTCAATTTCCATTTTTACAAGTGTTCACAGGAGAGAAGAACAAGCTCCAAGAGGCCACTGTGGAGATGGAAGGGAGGATAGTGACAGCCCGGGCTTGTGCACAGGGAGCTGTGTCATCTGTTCCTTAAACAAACCAGCAACACAGACTGGAATCACGCCCACCCCTGACATTTGAGAAGCCCAAAGCAAATGCAGTGAAGGAGGCCCACGAGCCATGTGTCTAAATATTTGAACATTATAAATCAAACTAATAAACTTCGAAATAAGGTTTGTTCTTCCCTCCTGCCTTGACAAATATACAGTTATATGAACCACAAAGGCCAGGCTTTGATTTCACATCTTGTGGGGTCCATTCACTTGTGAATATGGAACTCAGAGGGGTAGGAGAAATGAAGCAAACTCCCTCTTTTCTCCTTTCCCACCCTGGGAACTTAAATTGGGCAAAGGAACGCCCCAATTTGGCTGTCTAGCCTCCATCTGAGTCTTAATAGACCAGAGAAGAGGCCACGTAGGGAAATAGCCAAATAAGATTGTGTGTGTGTGTGTGTGTGTGTGTGTGTGTGTGTGTGTGTGGTGCGTGCAGTCACCAACATGCCAACATGGATTTTTACAGGTTCTGGGGTTTGAACCCAGGAGCTCCTTTCTACAAGGCAAGCACATCACAGACTGAGCCATCTCCCCAGCTATTTCCCCCAGGAACTTCTGGGGGCCCTGTTACCCAGAGGGTAGAGCAAAAAGGAGGTGGGGACTGTGAGAGACACCTCATGAGCCTGCAGCCACTTGATCTGCAACTGGCCCAGGGCAGAGCCACTGCAGGTATCCTGGAGTCCCGTTACCCACAAATCAACATCAAAGAAATCATTTTCATTTACCCAAAAAGTCACCTCATATCCAAGGACCTCAGAGACTGCCTCCCATACACCAAACACCAGCAGGGCCAAGACTTGGTTCAGGTCCTCCTAACTCCTGAATCCCTGGTGAGTCCCTCCTCTCTGCTATCCCTATTGGCATTCTCTACTGGGGACATGATGCTGGTGCTCTCTTCACCCTCATCAGAACCTTGTATGCCCTTTGCTTCCTTCCTCCTTTGATCACAGGCTTCCTGGTGCACCCCACGACTAACTTTCCTAAAACAAAAGCTGTGACCTTCCTTCTTCATCCCACAATCCTGGGGACTATGCCACACACCACACTGCTCAGCCCCTGACACCTATACTCTGACCTCAGTCAAATTGGACTTCGGTGTGTAATCAGGTCCTTCTCTTTCTCTCCAGTTCTCCTTCCCACCCCAGCACTCCCTGAAGCCTCCCTTAGCCCACACCCACCCACCTTCTTACCTGGGCTCCTAAGGCATCTGCCCATTTTCTGACCCCCAGCAATAAAGTGAACGTTCAATCAATTATCTCCCTAGTAACAAGTTGTGCGCACCATGCCTAGGATTGCTGACCCCTAAGTGGGCCGAATGGGCTCCCTACAGGATGGGGGCCTGCCTTGTTGCTGAGTGGACTTCTCTGAGAGACAAGGAGGAATGCACTGATGACAACCACCTTCTGTCCCCTCTTGAAAGTCATTGTATCATTTGGTGGGAAAAGCCTCTTCCAGGAGCAGCTGACTGAAGCTGATAGACTCTGGCCCAAGACTTGACATCCTAATAGCCCTCTGGGGAGGAGAAGGGTGTCACGACCCACCTCGGTAGCCTGGCAAGGTCAAAGTCTTAAAGAGCTGCAAGCAGGGTCTGGTATTTCCAAGATATTAATAGAGCTTTATTGGGTGGGTTGGAAAGCCAATCCAGGAAAATGATGGAAGACAAGGTATTTTGTGCTTCAGTTGTAAAACCCCAAAAGTAAAGAGTGGACTTTCTCCTGGTTACCTCACTATATAGATGCAAATGACTAACATAAAAGGGTGACCCTGGAAGGAAGCCTGGAAAGTTAGGGTTACTACCTCACACCCTTCCAGGCCCTGCTTGTTTGTTGTAGGAGGGACCTGCTACCAACCCAGGGCCATGTACTAGTCACACAGGTTTCTGGCTTTCGACAGGCGAGCAGAGGGGCTCTAGTGACATTCCAGATGGCACAAGTGATTTGTGATGACGAGTGACCTGGTCAATCAAGCCCTTGGCTTCTAATCCCAGGATTATTCCCCAGGGAGGTAGCTTTGGTCTTCCTTGTCCCTGTGTGCAGCATCCCTTTGTCTTCTGCACACACACACACACACACACACACACACACACACACACTGAAAATATGCTGCAGACCACTGAAGAGCCACTTCTTTCTATGAGGTTCTCAGCCTGCACTGAGCTCAAACAAGTCTGCTGAGGCCTCTCTGCTATCCCATTAGCCGACATACAAGGAGCAGTCAGGTGGCAGATGCGGCACCTAGCTAACCAACTACTTGATAATCTTCATACTGCTGCTGTCCACATTCGTAACACAGTCCACCCACAGTGCAAACAGTGTTGAGTGGGGAGGGGTATGTCGGGTATTGAAGGTCGCACCTCAAGTACTTCTGTAGCCAGTAGGAAAGAGAAAGCTTCATCCCCTTAAAACCACATCAACATGACTCAAGAGACAGAACGAGGCACAGGTGGTTAATGGGGCAACAGGCTCAAATCAGGACTCACTGGCACTACCCACAGTTCTTTTCCCTTAACATCCCGGAGTCTCAGTCTCCCCATTTGAGAGCTAAGTCAAAGCTGTCCACAGATGCCCACCCAGCTAGAGTCCTGTGATGGTGTGGCATGCGCGGACCAGTGGCAGTTGGTCTGACTTGGTGGCTGCTGCTAGGATCAAGACCAAGCCTTTGGTGGGTGGAGTGCAGCCGGTTTTCCCTGCCCACTCCAGCAGCGAACTGCTGACAGTGGCAAAGCCACGTTGCCATGCTCGGAGAGGTCTGGGGGGTGGGGGGAGTGGAGATGGGACGGGACACAGCTCTCTTGGCTTTGGTCTTGATGGAAAGAAAAAAAAAATCAATGTTTGGATTTGATTTCGTCTGAGGCTTTCTGAGAGCGCCTGGCTGGGCTCAGCCCTGCACAGGGAGTGAGAATAGGGGGTCTTTAGGACCCGGACAGGCTCGGACCAGCGGGGCCTGGAGGCCAACCTGCCGTGGCTTGAATGGGAGGCGGGCGGCGGCGCCGGGAGGCTAGTCGAATAGCTCTGTGGTCGCCAGGCAACCGCCCTGACGCAATGCAAAAGACCGTCCCTTCAAAAAAGAACCGTGAGGAGAATTCGCAGTGTTTGTGAGCTCGGGAGGCGGGAGCCAGAAACCGAGAGCGCCAAGGGCAGGCGCGGGCTGGCTGCGGGGTCCTCGACAGCTCCGGCGACGCGGCTGGAGCGCAAGAGGTGGGTTTGCGGTGGTGCGGGTTGGCCAGGCGCTCGGGCGCCCAGGTCTTCAGGGCGGGCAGTGGGGGGCTCTGGATCCCATAACCCTGTAGTGGAGACACCGCCATCAGACAGTGTGGTCCCTTCCCATTTGCTCCTGGGGTCTCAGGCCTGTTTTGAAGGCGTGGGAGGAGTCAACGTGGACTCCATGCCTCGGGTTCTAGTTCTCTGTTGACCCTTGTAGGGCTATGATTCCCGGTGGGGATTTGCGAGTCTATAACCTGAGAGGGAGGAACCTCTTGGGACTCAGGTCCAGGTCTACTTATCTGAGCTGGTGACCCCCATACCTACACTTCTAAGGAAGATGAGAGTTTTGGCCTCAAGGGTTCAATCCCCAACTCTGAAGTGACCCAGGCTACTTGGCTCTGTGGTGCCCCAAGAGTGAAGGCAGGGAAACCAGAGGGGACTGCACACCCAAATGCTGCTCAGGGAAGGAGCAGGTCAGCCATAAAGCTGAGCACCTGGATGGCCAGAAAGAACGAGGGGCTATGATGGGAGGGAGGGGGCAGCTTTCTCTCAGATGGCTTCTGTCTGCATCAGTTCTGTTGAGATAAACCCTGGGAACATCTGGAAAATGGATTGTCTCTAGGCTGGCCCAGCGTCTGTTTTACACTCACAGCAGGTTCTGTCTACCGCCATCCCTCCCACCATTGGACAATCATTCCTGGAGAATCCTGGGTGAGAACAGGTTCTTGCAGGGGATGCTCAGGAGATGCAGCCCCCACAGCCGGTTTCCTTCCACACCCAAGGTTCTCTTCTCTCTCCTTCCCTCCTCTCTTCTTGCCCCTCCCCATCATTCTCTCTCCTTCTTCCTCTCTTCTCTCTCCTCCTCTCTCCTCTCTTACCAGGCTTGGGATTCACTGGTCAAAGTCCTGGCCAAGCCAAGGTAACCAAGGTACCTGCTAGCCTGTCCTCATCCTTGGGATGGGGGATCCTGCCAGAGTGGTTTTCAAGAGCAAAGCAACATGCTCACTCTACTTCAAGCGACAAAGTGACAGTGCCTCTTTCCTACTGACCTCACTGCTGAGATCCCTTTGCATCCTTGGTCACTTGAACCTTACAATTACCCTTTGTGAGTCTCTGTTTGGAGTCTGAGAAGCAAAGGAACTTGGAGCAGCTTGTGTGGCTTTGGAAGTTGCAGAGACATCCCTGTGCCTAACTCCCTGCGCTCCAGAAATGCTTGCAGGAGAAGGTTGCTTCAGGAGGCCAGGGAATCCACCCTGGCCCAGAGACAGGAAGAAATAATTCACACCCACATGAAATCACAGTCACGGGGTGCTTGTCTCATGGCCTGAGAAAGTCCCCTGCCTGTGCATAAAGACCTGACTTTGTTACCCAGCACTGAATAAACTGGGCTTAGTAGCCCATGCCTGTAATCCCAGCACCTGGGAGTTGGAGGCAAGACGATCAAAAGTTCGAGATCATCCTTGGCTACCTAGCAAGTTTGAGCTACATCTCTGAGGAGGAAGGAGAACAAAAAAGCTGGAATCTCATACCCAAATGTACGTTGAGTCAGTGAAGAAGACAGATCCCTTATGAAAGAGACCTAGAAGGATGAGACTGGCTGAGCTCCTAGGAAACAAGGACAGTCAGTGGGCTAGAGTTTAGCAGGAAGGGGCAGATGAGCCTTGCCAATTAGTAACCTGTAACCTCTGAGCTCCATAAAAGCTGGGTTAACAGGATCTGAGGACCTGGGCCAGAATTCCTGCCCCTTAAGGACCAATTCTTTCCCTAGTAACAGCTACCACTTCTCTCTTGAGTAGAGAGCAAAGGAAAGGAGAGGGAGGGGGACACCAGGGGTCAGAGGTTGTATTACTCTATCCCCACCTTTCCTATCCTGTCCCCACCAGTCTTCCCAAGCACTACACTCCTCTCTATCATATTACCATGTCATATCACCTAGGGGGCAGCTCTGTGGATAGCAGCCCTGAGTCCCATCGGCATGAGGAAGAGGGCCCTGTTCTCAAAGCTCCCCTGCATCAGGTCCTCATCACACCTCAGCCTCTCGAAGTCGCCCCTGGCATATGGTAACTGCCTTCATGGACGCATTTCCAGAGTTACCACCCAATGGGACAGGCTTCTGTTTCTCACCTCAGAGTGGGAGACCGAGCCCTCCTTCCTCACTGGGGCTACGAATTCTTTTCAGGATACCCTGATCAAATGTGGGAGCGGGTTGGTGGTGGATCCCCAGCACCCCCTTACAGGGTATGCTACGTGGGACCTGGAGGGCAATCCTGGGTCAGATCTCATTTTCCAGGTTGAAGGGCAAGACTTGCGTGAGTTCATGCTTCGGTCTATGCAGTGGCCACTGTCCCAATTCTTAAAGGCTGGCCCCTGTATTTCCTCATTCCAAGAAGTCAGTAGAGCCTCTGAGCAGTGCCTGGGGACAGACCAATGGCAGCTGGAAGGAAGGTGGTCGTAGAAACTTTGAGGAAGTTTTGATGAGGACCTGCATGTCCAGGAGACCACCTGGGAGCCTGGCTTTCCCTTATCTACCAAGTCAGCAGTGGCATCAAATGCATGTTCCCTTAAGCTTATACAGGTGCCGAACCCTGGGGACACAAGGCAGTCAAGAGCCTGACCAACCAAGTAGCCGGAAAGGCAGATGCTCCGGGCTCAGGCGAGGCTGTGCTGTCTCCTCATCTGTTTTCTTGATTGGTTGGTAGCAGCTGCTGGAAACATGGCAGAAGGTGGCTGCAAGCCTGTTTTGTCATCCAGTTTGAGTTAAAGCGAGCCTGACAGCAAGTTCTGCCCACATGTAGGCATCTTTGGATGTACATACTTCCAAAGAGCTCCAGCACATCCTGGGAGCCTGTCCTGGAGGTTTCCTGATATCCCAGCCATCTGCCTCTTGGCACCCTGGCCACCCCTCCTTGGAGCACTCTCTAGAAGCGTTCACCTTGCAAGTCCATCTGTCCCTCCAATTCATTCATCATCCCACCCCTCTGGGATACCTTAGTCCGCAGAAAAGATCAGAGAAAGAACATGTTTGCTGTGCCGGTTGCTGGGTGTTCCTGCTGCCAGCGAGCACAACAGCACACCTGCACTGCTGCCTCTGGAAGGGGTGGGGATTTCCCGCTCAGTGAGCCCTAGGAGGAGGGAGTCTCCCTTTGAATGCACTTGGGGGCAGCTAGCCTGGCAGAAGCACCCAGAACACCTACCTCTCTTCATCTTCAAAGCCTTTTAGGATCAAGATGAGCATTGTGTGGGGGAGTTCTTGTAAAGGAGCAAAGACCCCAGTCCAGGCTGCTGAGGAGTAAATGCCGTTTGCATGGAGAAAAGGGTGGCATCCAATTGGTGCTCTGCCCATCTTAGAACATGCAGACACTCTGCTGAGTGTTAGTGTTTGGGAAGCTGTGTTCCCAGGGGACAGGCCAAGGCCCAGTCGAGGGCACAGGGTGGCAGTCCAGTTTGAGTTGTCACTAGTATTACACACACGCTTTCTCTCCTTTGATCCCCCAGACCACAGGTTGATTCTCCTATGATCCGGTTTTATGACCCGAAAGTCTGAGGTGTCAATCATCCGCCATAACAGCGGTAGTTGGCCAATCTCCACCATCTCCACCTGCCCCATCCCCCACTATCTGAGATCCCTCTGAAGCACCAGATTCCCTCCTTATGTGGCCATCAGGTGCAGCTTCTGATGACATAATAAGGGGCAGGGTCACACAATCAACTTTCTCTTCTGCCTTAAGTCACTTAGAACAGAGACTCTCTCCACACCCCAGTGTGAGCACAGCATGCTCCTGCGGGCAGCTGCAGGCCATCCTGGACATTGCCCAACCTAACTTAGATCAGCTATAACCCCACTGCACCCTCCACTGTGTTCCATCCAAACTCAACCAAACCAGACCAGATCCTAAGACCCTCCAATCCCTGAGCAGTCAGCCTACCCAGATAGGGTGTGGAGGAGGTATGGTACTCAAGTAGACACAACTGTGCACCAGGAATCCGCTTAAGAAATCCTTGCAAAGTGGTTGGGCCTTGGGAACTTGCAGAATGACATAGAAAACAAATAGAACAGATTCCCACTTGAACCAGACCGTTGGTTTTGCTTATTTGAAGTTGGAGCCTGTTATCATGGATTTGAATAGGCCTAACTGCCTTGTCTAGGGTCCTGGGGAAATGCCACTTAGGACGTTTTCTAGAGGGCCACTATGTCTTTAATTGTGAAGTGGTACCTGAGCTTCCTGGGAAGTGTATGCTGCTCCTGTAGCTAGGATACACACCCCAACTGCCTTCTGCTTTTATACAGATTGCTTCAGAGGCTACTCTGTGTGTTGGATTCCTTGGAGCCACTGTGGTCACGTGGGGCCCATGACTGGGACAGTAAGAGACTGACTTATCAGAGGTCCTCCTTCTAGGGAGGACCCTTTTCCTTCTCTTCATTTCTCAGGGCTCCATTCCACCCCATTGCTCTGCCTCTCAGGAATCTTCCTCCACGCTTGCCAGAGAAGCCCTAGCCCAGGGCTACGGAGGGGCCATAATGAGGAGTCCGGGTCTCCTCATAGACCCCCCTCTCCTCCTTGCAGCTGCCCCATGCTTTCTGCCCTCCTTTCAGGGATGATGTCAATTAGCTGTGTGGATCCTGGGAGCCATGGCCTCTCCCAGACACATAGGGAAGCACACGTCTTTCTTGGCAGTTTTCTCGGCAACTTTTTTCACTGAGCAAAATGAAAGCAAACTCAGGCGTCTTGCAGGAGGCCCGTGGAGCCAGGCCTATCAATTATTCAGCACTGACCTGGCGCTTTGCATTTGCAAAGATCTTTATAAGTACTTTTATAGATTCTTCCCTCATAGTGTCTCAGTGTGACAAAAAGAAAAAAAAAGGCTTCGCATTTCTTAGACAATGGAGGCAGGACTCTGCTTAGAGTCTAAAGGTTCAAGTCCAGGTCTAGTCAGCCCCTCTAATGGAGCCATGTGACCCTAGGCGCCAGTCTTATGACATCTCCAATTTGGGGTTCCTATGGGGGTCTAACTCTGGAGAAGGTTTCTCTAGCCCAGGCCACCGAAAAATGTTATCAACAGCAGCGTGGTTTGAAAATGTTTATGAACGATTGTATTTCAGGTATGCAGAGAGAAGCATTGGATCCTGAGTGGAGGGGCAACTGTTAGCACTGGACACTGCAAACCAAGCCTTTCTGGGTGAAGGTCCCTGCGAGAACACAGGTAAGTGGGTTCTGTTGCCCGTGGCTCCAAAATGTGGTTGCCAGCCCACTGGTTACTATAACCTGAGGAACCGTGCCAGAAGGAACCAGAGGCCAGTGACACACTGTGCTTACTGAGAGCTCGGTGACAGCTCTTGGGCCATGTCTAGGCTGTGGGCTTGGGGCTGATGCCTTTCTCCTTATCCCCAGGCTGAACCTGCCTCAACTAGATCTTATTTCCACCTCCCTCAGGAAAGGCGGGGCGGGATGTGCCCAGCTGTCACCAGAGCCTCACCTCCCCCAGGGCTTCTATTGGACCTCCTGCCATCTTCTTGTCCCTGCCCCTCCACACACTGGAGGACTCAGGCCTAGCATCAGGACTGCCTCTTGGTCAGTCCCCTACACATAGGCAGAAGTCGGTCCCCACACCATACAAGTTCCAAGAGCCATGTGGCTTGTCCAGGGTGGCATGATTGGTGTGGCAGAACCATGTCCCCACAGCCATGCCTGTTTGCAGAGGAAGACCCCAGACCAGAGACAGACTCCAGCCTCTTTGGAAGGAAGGACTGGGTTAGCATGGTGCTCCATTGCAGGACGGAACTATCCAGGCAGCACCCAGATGGCTTCGTAGTTGCCCTGGGTAGACAGCTTGCTCACTCACATGGACACACATCCAACAAGACAACCATCAACTGTCGTACTACACACACTCACTCAGGCATACACAGAGAGTATAAGGCAACATGATTCACACACACACACACACACACACACACACACAGAGAGAGAGAGAGAGAGAGAGAGAGAGAGAACAAGACAACCATCCCACTACACACCAAACAAGATATTTGTGCGCTCACACACACACACACACACACACACACACACACACACACACAGCATTCCACAGTCAGTAAAACAACCACCTCCTACTCACACACACACACACATCCCAGCACAGTTAACCCCCTCCCTGCCTCTGTGGCCAGGGACACCCCGTTTCAGGTGCTCCCAACAATACTAACTAGAAGCTGGAATAAAAATGGGCCTAGGAAGGGGAAAGATGACTGGCAGAGGGCCAGATCAGCGGGTGTCCCTCCTGCTTCTGTCACCATGGCAACCCCAAGGAGGAGGAGAAGGGCTCTGGGCAGTCAGTGCCCAGCTGGTGTTGTCAACACCAGGGGCGGGGGTGGGGGTGAGGGGGACTGTGTCTCCTCCTTTCATCCCCAGGTCGGCAGGGCTGAGGCACATCTGCCAAGCTTGGGTGGTCATATTTACAGACCACACCTTCCAGGTTGGGTGAGCTGGGTAGGAGTGCCCCACCCCCATGTAAGATTAGCATCAGGTTTATGATTAAACCTGGACAGATAAGCCTGCCTGGGCCAGGAAGCCCTGACCTATGACTCTTCCAACACCTGAGAAAGTGGCAGAGCCCACTGAATACCTTGTCCCTCGTCATTTCATGCACCCGTGACTATGACAGCTTCATCTTCAGAGAAGGAGCCCAGACCTGACAAGAGATGAGAAGGTGTGTGCAGGCTGTCAACTCAGTTCACTTTGTCCTTCACTCTATGTTGGAGACCCCCTCAGAGCACAGCCTATTGGTAGAAGCGGGGGGGGGGGGCAGGGGCTGTAGGGGCTGCCTTCCCTAACGTTGATTAGGAGACCAAAGACAATGTCCCTAATCAGGTCACACACTTTCTGATGGAGTTTGCCGCTTGGTGACGCGCGGGCACACTCAGCAGAGGAGCACCGACTTCCTTGTACACAGTGTGAGCCTCTGCCCACTAGCCAAGCCTGGCTGGGCTCCAGCAGTAGAGTATTGGGCAGCGAGACAATGTTGGGGTATGAAAGCCAGACTCAATGAAGACATTCCCTATACCTGCCTTGCTAAGCAAAGTTAGATTCCAAGGGAGCTTGATCCGTGGGGTAGCCAGTTCTTCATTCCAGAAGCTTCTTTAACATGCCTAAGTAACACCTGCTGATGAAAAGTTTTCTATGTGGGTGGGACTCAGAAAGGAAATAGCCAGCCCTGTCCAGATAGTATGTTCTAGAAAACAGCACAGCAGCCCCAAGAAATGTGGAGGAAGGCTGTGGGCTGTCACCAAGGTAGCCTACACCTTAAGCTGGTCACTCAGTCCCCAACTCACTTAGCCAACTGTGTAGTCTAGAAGACCTGACTGACCTTCTTTGTTATATACAGGTAGCCTGTAGTCACAGTCAAGGTGGTCCTCCAGGTGGGGGCAGCATCACTGGATAGCACAGAGCTGGGACAGAACTAGCTATCTCCAGGACAGTCGTTTGACAAATGATATGTGAGCCCCGTCTTGTTGAGCTATATAACAAGGGAGAGAGCCTAGCCCTTAGCTCCAAGCTCAGCCTTGTCTCCTTGCCGGCATTGTCCTCGTCACAACTACCTAGTATCCACCTTTGCCCTACCAGTTCTCTCTCATCTCTGCGCCTCAGTTTCCCCAAATAATGGGATGGTCACACTATGCTCATGAAATGCTCTTTCTTCAGGCACTGGCTTGGTAGGTATTAGAAGTTTGGCAATGTTAATAAATAGTACCTAGAAGCATGGTTGCTAGGGTGGGATCCAAAATGTACTGTGCAAGATAAGGGGTCACAACTAATGGGGTCCCAGAGGAACATCCAAGGGCACGAAGGAAGGGGGCACTGGTCTTCGGCCTAAGCGGAAGAGTGTTGGGTGTGGTAGGCATCAGTGGGTAAGGAGTGTCAGAGTATGGCAGACATCAGTGGCTGAGGAGTGGCAGGGGAGGGAAGGCATCAGTGGTAGTTGGCAGGAGATAGAGAACTCCCAGCTTTCCCCAGTAGGACCCTGTTCCCAAGAACCAACCTCTTCAGCCTTGGGGGACCTTGTAGAATCAGAACAATTGAGACTCAAATGTGTTAAAGCCCTCTGAGAACTGTTCTCTTTGATGTTCTGCTTGTTCTGAGCTTGGGGCACCTATCTGGTCCTATGTTCTAAATAATGTGCCTCTTTTTCCTGGGTGGCCATCCAGCCCCTTGCCAGCGTTCCTGGGCTGGGGTTTTGTGACACAGGTTTCTTGTTGTTGTTTCCCACCTGTAAAATCAACCCAAAGCCCTAGGGTTATTATACCTCTTTCAGGCAGCAGGAAACGTCTCCAGGCGACATCAGGAGTTAATAGTGAGACTAGCCTGCCAGTGTGGAGCTGCAGGAAGCTCAGATCCATGGCGACCAGCTATAGGAGGTAAACTGTAGCAGTAGGGGATTGTCACCTTGCTGAGGTCACCTAGAGAGGCACATCGCCGAACAGCTGTCCAGGCTGACCAGACATACAAATGTTTGCCCCAGTTTGGACATCCTGCTGCTGTCCATTAAGGAAGGCCCAGAGCATGTCCTCCTCTTCCTCACAATGACCCCCTGGGTGGCAATTCTGTTAGAAGGAGCAGCAGAAGTGTGAAAAGTCACACATGGCAAACTGTCACCCTGTCCTCACCAAGTGCTGCTTGTGGTTGACTGTAAATTAGGAAACAACTCTGAATGCAGACGGACTTGGTAAACAATTTACTAAGAAGAAGGTGACAGCTCCTCCTGTTAGTTCTCAACCGTGTGTCTCTGAGGGACAGAGAAATGTGGGTGAAGAGAGTGTTGAAGTGTCGTGGCATTTCATGGCACTGCTTGGCTCTCGGTTATATTTGTTGCCCATGCAAATGAGCTGTGTGGCCCGCACTCTAGCCAGGGCTCCTGAGTGTAGGCACACAGAAAGCAGCGTGGTTGTAGGGATATTGGGCAGTTGTGGAAGTGAGAGGAGGTGAAGGCCAAGGAAGAAGCACGCAGATACAGGGCAGAAACAGAAGTCAGAACCAGCCCCCTGGTTATTTAGGAGAGACCATTGGCTAGGTGGCCTCTGTAGCTCACAACTGTCTTGGGACTGGCACCTAGGTGGCCACATGGGAATTCTCATTGGCTCTTCTTCTCATGGGCCTCACACACTCCAAATTCAGAGCCCAGGCCTGAGCCTCTGATTGGTCAAGCTCGAGTCACATGCTCAAATCTAGTCATCAGGTCCTTAGCAGAAGAAGGGGACTTGGGGCTGGTCCTGTGGTCCCAGAGAATGAACACCAAGGGTGTCCGGCCTGATTCTGGTTCTAAACAACGTGGGAGCTCCCTGCAGACAGCAAAGGAGGAGCTCCGTTGTGGGATAGAAACAAATGAACGCCGAATACCAGTAAGCATTCGCCATATTGTTTTCTTTCCTTCTGTAATACGTGCTTCTGCTAGCCAGTTATAACAGTTGAAAATCTAGCTGGAAGTAGCTTAGGTCTCAGAGGAGAATCTGAAGGGCTGCATCATCAAAGCCTAGCTAGGTTGTAGGTCCTGGGTAACTGAACAAATGTCTGTAGGAACATGGGCGTCTTTCACACCACTGAAGAAAATGTCCGTTTCCCCTTAGCGACTGTTAACCTCGTATATGCCTTAGGAAAGGTGGGGCCTCATGAGCTCCCTCCTTCCATGATGGGATGTGAATGAGCCTGGTCTTGTGTAGGTCTTTAGTGGGTGATATCAGTTGCTAAGAGTTCAAGATGGCAACAGTCTTGTCATACCCCGAGAACAGTGTCCCACGACAGCCGGGCTCCCAACAAGGTCTAATTGGGAGCCTCAAACTGTTGTGTGTGCTTGGGGTTATACCCTAGTAAATGCTTTCCCTGTGACAGCAAGAGGCCCCTAGTAACTCCAGACTGCTGGCAGTAAGGCCAGGTTGGAGGAAGGAGTGCTCTGATTAGTTCAGTTAAAGTCATGTGACTGCTACCCCTGAGGTGAGAGGGAATGTCAGTGCCCTAGGGGTTGGGCTCCTCAGAACAAAGTAGAATGGTCTTTCTGGAGAGCAGAAGGCGGAAGGTGCCACGTGGAAATGACCCCATACCATACTGAGCACCAAGGAAGTCCTAACTGTGTCAGTTCAAAGTCTCAGGACATGGCCCAAGCTGACTCTGCTCCTGATTTGCCTGGGGAAGGGTTGGGGAGGCTGCACACCTGTGGTCGGGCACACAGGTATACAGACAATTTCTCATTCAGGCAGTCAGAGCAGGGAAGGTGTAGGTGTGGCATCTCCTGAGGACAGATAGATGTCCACAGTAGGCCCAGGAGCCGCACCTCTGCTTCTCTGAGTCCATTCAGCGGGCACACATGTGAGCAAGCACAGGCCACAGAGACAGGGTTGATTACAGAGGGCAGGCAGCCCTGTGCTAATTAGGTTCTGGATTCAGGACCAAAGTACCAGTTCACGTTGTGAGCGTCACAGGGTGGTAGAGGAGAGCATCGTGAGGTCCTGGCAGGAGCTGGAGAGGTGGCTCAGCAGATAAGAACACTGGCTGCTCTTCCAGAGGATCCAGGTTCAACTCCCAGCCCTGTATGGTTGCTAACGGCTGTCTGTAGCTCCACTTCCTGGAGATGCAACAACCTCTTCTGGCCTCCTCAGGCACCACACACTCCTCGGTGGTGCCCAGACGTATGTGCAGACAAAGCACCCATACACATAAAATACAAATAAGTCTTGCAAAAAAAGAAGAGCCTGGTATAAATGTGTTGGTCTAAGAAGGACAAGAAGTCCAGAGGGAAGTCCAGACATTAAGAGATAGCCAGCCTAGATACAGACATGGAAGACTTGAGTCCCAGCTCCACCACTGACTAGCTCTGTGACCTTAGGCAGTGGCCACACCTATCTGGGCCTTCACTCTCCCCATCTGTATGATGGGGGACAATCCCAGGCTTTTATGATACTAAATTACTGTCCTGCGTTCCTGTGTCAGGACAGGCCTGTTAGAATACTCCTGCTCTGCTTGCTTCTAGTGTTAGCTAATCTTGTGGTGACATCATTGTTTTCCTGTGTACTGACATCACCAGAACACACCACTCAGCCAGCAAAGATTAAAGCAATCTTCCGGAAGGCCTAAATCTCTGAGAACGGAGGTAGGGAAGGGAGGTAGGAAGAAACAGCTGTACAAAGTCATGAGACTTAAGGGGGCAGGAGAGGTGGGAGGGGGTGTTAGATTGTATCTCCCAGAGAGGATATGGTGTGTTCCAGTGGAAAGAGGGGAGTATTGGTCAACACACCCCTGGCCTTCCTCTGCCCAAGAGCCCACTGGGGAAGTGGGCTTGAAGACTTTCCAGATGAACAAATTAGCTCATAATGAGACAAGGTGTTGGCTGACGGATGCAACTGTACCCACCCACCTCCTCCTCCAGCAGCCTAGGAATTAGCTCACAGCTGGCGAAGCATCCTGTGCTATCCTGGAAACCAGGGAACATGTTTGAACAGCAGTCATGTATGCAGAGTTGGCCCCTTGGCCCACACATCCTTTCTTCAGGAAGGCTGGCAACACCTGCAAGGCTTGTCCTTGCTATTCCTGGGGCATCTGCCATGTGGGGGGCATCCCTGAGCCTGGTGGGATTCTGGGATTGTCTTCTTTCTCCTGGTCCCCTGGTCCCAAGTCTGAGGATGCCCTTTGGCTTTCTGCTTCGCTATATACTTAACCGCTCTAGGAGAATCTAGGTTAGGTGAGACACCTGCTGCCCAGCATGTCAGAGGGCTCTTCCTGAGCCCAGGCTCCAGAATACCCCACTATATCAGGAAAGACAGAAGGGCCCTGCTGCCATTCTGCCCACCCAAGAAGCTGCCTCGGGGATGGCACCTGTTGCAAACACCCATTCAACACCTTGCCACCAGCTCAGAATGACGTTAGCTAAGTGCTCACTAAGTGGGCAGTTGATGGTGGAACTTTCTCCTGGCACCTCCCCAGGCCTGTGTGGGTAACATCCCAGGCCAACTCCTACACCCAGTTCTAGAGGAGGGAAGAAACCCTCTGGGCCTCTTCAGATGCCGGGGTTATTTGGTTTCCAAGACAAGGTGGGGGGGAGCAGAGATCATTCAGGTCACCCAAAAGGTCCAGGGAGGGCCCACAGATGACAGCCCGGTGTGGCGGTGGGGTGATGGGACCGTGAATGTGGGATCAGCCATATGTTCCATCCCCTTGGTGGCCTTTCTAGTTTCGTCCAGGATTCTTGTATTTTAGGTACAGTGCTAACAGCCATTACCTTGCTTGACCTCAGATCCCCTCAGTGACCTGTACATTTAACAGAGACTGTCCCTTCATTACTACTCGGCAGCCATCATCCTGAAAGGCTTAGGAGCTCTTTTCTCGTTCTTTTTAAAACCAAGAGCCCAGTGTTTGCATTTTGCACTGAGCCCAGCCTGCAGATTATGCAAGTTCTGGCTGTACCAACATCTCAGAAGAGGATGGAGAGGCTTGGGGTGGTCTTGAAACCATGGGTCCAGAGCACAGACCTGACAACCGTTTTCCTGCTCTGAACTGGGTAGAAAGAAACTGACCATGTGCCCAGGTCCCAGCTGGCAGCTGCCTATAGCCAGCTCATGAAAGCACCTCGCCTTTCCCATCTCTGGGTTCTCCATGTTGTAGTTCCTGTCCTACTGTTGGCTTCCTGGATGAGACCAAGGCTGGAGGCAGCCAGAGGATAGCCAGCACTTCCCAGACACCATGAAGGCAGCACCCCGGGGCTGTCGTCTCACTGAGCTCTTGTTCAGGCCTTCTCTGAGTCTATGCAGAAACAGTAATTAAAACAGGACCACACAGTGAGACTCAGGAGGAGACCCTGCAGAGTGCCCCCCACCACTGCAGAGAAGCATGTAGGAGTAGAAAGCTCCCCCCTCCCAGTATTGTCCCTCTCAGGGCTCGGTGCGGAGGGTGCTGCTCACCAGCCTGTCTAAACGGGACTTTCTCCAAAAAGCTCTGCTGGGTGTAAGGAGAGCTCCCTTGTCTGGGGAAGGAAGCTTTCTAGGGTTCAGCTGGCCCCAGGTGTACTCAGAATCAATGGCACCTCAGCACCAAAAGCAGACAGCAGGCGCCTGGGAGGGCCCCTGGAAGCCACTCCCAAGTTTTCCTATGTGGAGAGATCTGAAGAAGGTGACCGTGAGAATCTGGAGAGGGCATATGGGAGGAGATGGGTAGTTCCAACTAACCCTTTTTACAGAAAGCCAGACTGAGGCTCAGCTAGCCTGACAGCCTGCAGCTAGGGCCAGCATCTCTAAAGGTTTTCAAGATTCTAGGAAGCTGAGCAGTTGCCAAGGGAGCCCCATGGCCCACATAATGGGCTTCGAATCCCTAGGAGGGGTCAAGAATCATCACCTGTTCATAGAAGGCAAGAAATGAGACTGGGTTACCCTGATGATATGTGGGGTGGAATGTTTTCATCCCCTAGTGATGCCCCAGTGAGGGTCAGAGCCTGAGGAGGGCGGTCCCTGGTGCTCTGGTCAGCTCTTCTGCAGCCTAGGCTTGTATGAGTGGCCCTGAGCAGAAAGCTCTCTTCTCACCTTCCTGAGTATCTCTGTGTCCATCAGAAGGACCATGCCCCCTCAATGGCCCAGCCTACCAGATTGCTCCCACACCTCCCCCATCTTAAATCCTTATCTGTCTACCCAGTTCCTATTATTGCAATAAGGTGGTATCACTCGAATTCCTGAATTAATTTTTCTTTGAGTGGGTATATATATATATATATATATATATATATATATATATATTCTTATACTGGTTTTATTCATCATCACTAAAGTGCATAAACAGTTTCATGCATTTCAACAGGTAGAGAGACAAATTGTATTCCATTCATTCACTAAGAAATGGAGCAGAATGAAATACTGTTAAACACAGGCATATCTCAAGTGTGCTACACTAACCGCAAGAAGGCTGAGCTTATACGGTGTAATGATGGAGCATGCTCAGGAAGAAAATGTATGGAAATAGAAAGCAGATCATCATCGGGGATTAGGAGGGTGGGGATCCTGCCCATGCAAAGGCTGCATGACTGATTTGTGTCACCGTGAAATCAGGGGCTTCCAAAGACACACAAAGTCAATAAGCATCTCTTTCTCCCCTCCTTTCCCACACAAGGACAGCATGTGCCCCAAGAGGCAGAGCCTATAGCTATTCCTCTGAACCTTCACTTGGATGCGGTCCCACCTTGATTCATTCGTGTTCAGAGCTCAGCAGAGATATTTCAAACCCAAGTTCAAGTTATGCGCTTTGTCCTCCGATCTGCCCTTGTCCAGATCTCCTTAGACACGAGACGGGAGACTCAGGTCTGTTTCTCACTCAGCTACTCCTCCTTTGGTGTGATAGGCTAAGAGTCACTAGAGGTGGTCAGCTCAGAGCACAGTTGGATCCCTTGCAAGGTGGTGCTGCCCTGTGGGCATTCCAGGTAAACGTGAGAAACTCTTTTTCCAAAAGAGTGAGTCATGAGTCTCCTTCAGATTCACAGCCCAGCTCTGGCCGCCAGCTTCTTTCCTTGCCCAGGTTGCCGGTTTATTAGCTTCCTCTAAAGAGGTGAGGTCAGGTGTTTATGTTGGAGCCGGAAGCTGTGTGTGGATAGAAGGTGGGGCTGGGTGGGTGGGGGTGGCTCAAGGCCAGTAGACACCTGTCCTGAGTCTGTGCAGAACCCCACTTGGCCCGTCAGCTGGCTCTAAGGACCTGCCCAGAGAGACCTGTCGTGAGAGTCGGACCAGCTGGCCTTGTCCCCCTATGTCTTGCTGAGGGATCTATCTTGGTGAGTCACTTGGCTTCTTGGAGACTGGGGTTCTTCCCCTGTGTGTTGGGTGTTAAAATCAAGCCTCTAAACTCCCTGCAGGGACTTCCATGACCTCAGAGAGGTAGAATGGTTTTACAAACAGTAAAGCTCCGCCAGGTTCTCTCAATTGCTTTGCATGAAGTCTGTGAAATTGCCTCATTTCTTGCCAAAGAACTGGCAAGTAGAAACCCTGTCCCTGGACCTCAGTTTCCCATCTTGTGGGGGTGAGACCAGGGCTGATATGATTCTTTTCCTTCCTGCAGGCTCACGCCCCCCCCCCCGCCCCAAAGTGCATTCCCATCACCTCCGACCTGCACACTTCCGGCAAGCATAACTAGATCTCGGAGGAGGCCGCCCCAGACATTCCTGCTGATGCCTGTCTGATCCTGCCTTCTGTGAAGCATGGCCCCCATGGGATTATGGGACAAATCATAGACCCTGAGCCACACCTGCTCGGAGAGGCACACTTCACAGCCTCCCTTGGCTCCAGCTGCTGCCAAGCCTCGGGACTCACTCCCATCCCCGCAATGCCTTCAGGAGCCATGGCCACCACTGTATGAGGTCCTTCCCTAGCAGGACTTGACCTTGCTACCCAGCAAGGCTCTGGAGTGACCTCCACTGCCTCCCATGCCTGGCAACCAGGGCAGACTAGAGAATGTCTGTGCCACGGATCCAGGTGGAAGAAGTGGGTGAGAAAGACAGGCTGGCAGGAGCAGCCGCACCTCCCGATGACCACCTACTCAGCCTCAAGGCCCTCACCGAGAAACTGAGGCTAGAGACCCGAAGACCCTCCTACCTGGAATGGCAGGCCAGGCTAGAGGAGCAGACATGGCCTTTCCCAAAGTCAGCTGCCCCACAAGAGGCAGGCTTGGAACAGGAAGCCTGTGGAGATGGAGTGCCGTCAGTCCCTCTGAGGGAATCCAGAGAGCTGCTCCCACCTCCCAGGAGTGCCAGCCAGGGTGACGGACCTCTGACCACAGGCAAGCTGGAAGGCTTCCGGAGTATCGATGAGGCTATAACCTGGGTCAGAAAGGAACTGGTGAGTGGCTGGCTGCCCCACGAGAGGCCCACACGGAAAGTGGGCCATGCTTGTAACCTCTCTCCATCTTTCTGTCTGACTTTGCCTGTGCCCTACGTGATGTTTCTCCTTCCATCTCTGCCTGTTTCCCCTTTGCACATCTGTCTTCCTTTTGGGCAAAGGGTAAATCCTATTTCTCAGTGGATGCATGTGGCCTGAGTCAGTCGGCCCCTTGTTACCCGCAAGGATCTGAGACCACAGTAGGGTGTTCCTACCCTTTTCCCACCAGGATCAGACTCTCCTGCTCTTATTCCTGGACAGGCAGGGGATTCTCAGAGTTTGCCTGTACTGACTTCTCTAAGAAACCCTCTCCCTATGCACCACAGTTGTCTACAGGTTGGGGACCACCACTCACTCAGCAAGCAAGCGGCCTCTTTTCCTGGGGTGGGAGTTGACACTAGGTGGTAGGTCCCCCAGGTGAGGTGAGCAACTTTGGGAAGGGCTCTCAGTCTGGGGGTCATAGTTGTAAGTACTGGGGCTCAGCATGGGAAGTGCCGTTCGATAATTTGAGGTGTTTAAGAGCTGCCAGGAGGGGACACATGACTGACCACACTTAGAGCGAAGGCTTTGGCAAAGGATGTTAAGAGACTGCCCAGAAGTCAGGGTGGTTAGGCCTTCCAGATGGAACTAGTGAGCAAAGACGGAAGATGCTGAGTGGCACAGCAGCTGGATCCTTTTACTGCCCACAGAGGTCCCCATCAGGAACCATGAAAAACCTGGGAAAGGAAGTGGGACATTTCCCCATGCCGCCCTCGGAAAACCACTAGGTTCCTCCATCATAGCAGCTTCTTAGCAGACCCAGATCTGAAACAAAGCCTCCCCTAAGCTTTAGCTGCTTCCCTAATCACTGGCAGGGCCGTCTGACTCCAGGGAGCCCCCAGTCAAGGCCAGCTGCTTTTCAGAGACAGTGGCATCTCTCCAGCCAACAGGAAAGCAGAAGCTGGCCTGACTTGCTTTGCTGAATCCTGCAAGACATCTCTCCACTGGAGCCTGAAATTTCTCATGGGCTGAAATAAAGCACTAGAGCTCAGGGTGGTAGCAGCTCGGGAGGTTGGGCCTTTGATTAATTGGGAGCCTCTCCAGTTGACATTGAGACGGCTCAGAACACTCTCTTCCATTGGGAATGCTGTTAAGGCCTAGCAGCATATGCTTGCTGTTGACTTTTGCAGAAGACGGGGCACCTGTGGATTCTTGCTTCGTGACCCCGGGGTGCTCATAGGAGCATGAAAGATGAAGGGGTGGGCATGCAGGGCCAGAGACAGACCCTGGAAGCTGCACCCTGAATTCCTGAGGCCAACCTGCTTTGATCTGTTTTTCACAGAGGGACAAAAAATATTCCTATTAGCCAAGGATGCAATTTGTTGGTTTTGGGTTCATTTGAGAGTTTATTGCTTCTTGGAGCGGTGTTGTTTACTGTCTAAATATGTTCACATTCCTTGTGGGCTTCCCTTTGGAGTGAGGAGTAGAGAAAATATTCCTCTGAGTAAATGGAAAGCAGTAGGGGCTTCTTTCAAATTTTCTAGACACCCCCATCATCCTTTAGATGACAAAGTACCATGGGGAGGGTGCTCAGGAAAGTCCCCAAAGCCTCAGCCACACCTCAGACCATTGAAATGAATACCTAGGGTGTGATGCTGAACTTCTAAAGACTTTAAAGATTGGTTAAAGCAGCACGCAGCCTAGCTGAGAACAGTGTCTGAGATCTATGGGGCATACTTTACACTCATTGCCAGGACACATCCAAACCAAGCATGGCAAGGTGCCCCACCCAGAGCGTGCTGGCTAAGTGGAGGAGGCCAGCCATGTTTAGGGTAACTCAGACTGTCGGATCCCAGGGCAGGGCAGTCAGAGTCAGGACTAATTTGGTTGCCGACAGCAGTCCTGATGTGGGCACAAGAAATAAGTGCATTAGTAACGTGCCTTCTATCTGCATAGCATTTTCTATTCTCCTGGGTGACCGGGGGTGGGTAATGACGGTGATGACGATGACTGACGTGTCATTGTGCTCAGAGTGCGTCAGGTGACTTCACCTGCGTTACTCACATCTCGTCGTCATGTGACCTCACCTTCCCAAACTCTTTTCTTCAAGAAGACCAGAAAGACTCAGAGAGGAATGCAAGTGGGAATAGGAAAGTTGTCATTTGAAGCCGGGGCCATCAGGTCACCGTGCCAACGCTAGTCTTAGCTGCTGTCACGGAATATGGCACCCTCCATCGGCAGCCGGTCTTCCTAAAACTGAGTTCACGGGGATGTCAGCAGTCAACAGAATGCGTGGGTTGGAGGCAGAGAGAGAAACAAGGTTGGATGAGACTCCCTGCCTTCCATTCCACCTTAAGAAGATCCAGGGCACTTGCTGTCGGGTGAATTCTCTGAAGCTCCTGGGAGTCCGCGAATATAGCTAGGAAGTGACAAAGCCGGAGCTCAAACTCACTTTTGGGAAATGCAGGAGGGTGTCTGGTGAGCTGGCCTGACTGGGGAGGGCACAGCTGAACATGCTGGAAAAGCCATTTGGTCTCTGAGCTCCAATGTGCATACAGAGCCCTCTGAGTCTCTCGTAAGGATGAATATTCTTTTCTGTGGGTCAAAGATGGGCATCTGTGATTTGGGACTTCCAATATGGACCAAGGGACACTAAATGTCATATGCCACACCACACTTAGAGTGCCAAGGGATGAAAAGAGGCCCAAGGGGCTGTGAAAAACTTCAGAGGGCAGATCCAAGTGTCTCCAAGCTTGAGCTCCACACCCGTCCCCCTGCCTTACTGTCCCACAAAGCCAAGTTCAGACAGCAACTAAGACAGGGGCCTTAGTGAAGAACTCCTCTCTTAGTGAAGAACATCCTCACCCAGCCCAATGAATGATGCAGAAACCCCACCTGAGTAAAGATGGCCCTCCTGGAGACCAGCAGCAGCTCTGGTGCTGATCTCGGGACCCCCACACTCCACTCTGCCCTGTGAGAAATCAGATACTGAAGGCAGTTTATAAGACACTTAGCTGGAAGCGGCTGGACTAGAAATGCCTTTTCTCTCTGGCTCAGTTAAAACAAAGCTTCGTGATAGTTTTCTAATCTATCCTGCACTCACCATCAAGGTACCTTTAAAATCTCACACTTTTAAGGCCCCGGTGAGGGTAGCTTGTATTACCTTTATTATTATGCTGTATTTCTTTCGATTCAGAGTCGAGCTTCATCTGTACCCGGGCACCCCACCCTCTCCCTGCATATCTGTCAAGCTCCTGTGCGAATTTATCCTTTTTCTCATGTGTCTGAGGAGACAGACGGAGACTCTAATGCCAGTCAGTATTCAGGCTCCCCTCCCCTGCCACACACACACACACAGCCGAACACCCACAATAGATGTTTTCTGTAGTTCTGGGGATTGAATTTAAAGCCCTTCCTTCCCATACTAGCCAAGTGCCCTTCCCTGGAAACATATCCCCAGCCCTCCTTCTAGTATGCTTTTCATGATAAGGTCTTGCTAAGTTGCATAGGTCGGCCTTAAACTCACTCTCTATAGCCCAGGCAGGTTTTGATCTTACAATCCTCCTGACTCAGCTTCAGAAGTAGATGCAAGTTTGGGTCTCTGCCACCAGGCCCCAGTTTTACTGGAAGTTTTGGTCCTAGCAGAGGGCAACCCAAAGTGTGCCTCCTGTTTATCTGGTGATCCTCCCGGGAGCTGTTAAAACAGCCAGGGAGACATTTGCCAATGAGCCCGCATTCAAAGGCAGGCTATACAGGGACAGACAGCATTGTTGCTTACCCTTCCCTGCCTCCTCTAGGACCAGTGGAGAGGGATTGTATGATCTGGACAGGTTTCTAAAGCAAAGGAGGGGCTAGAAGCTTCCTCTTGATATTCCTTCCTGGCTTTCACTCCTAGATATGAGGTGTTACTGCCAACATCGCTGTTGACCTAGAGTAGGGTAGCTTTTCCTTCAGCTAATGTACCAAGGGCATTGGGACACAAACGCTCAAAGCTCATAAGACCATCTCTGAAGAAGTGTGATTCCGGGACTACCGGCCTGAGTTCCTTCACTCTGACCCCCACACAGGCTGAGCCTTGGGCCACATGGAGGCAGTGATAGCAGGAACAGGGCCTACAACTTAAGCTTAGGGACCTCCCTGGTCTCTCATCTGATATTCCTTGCTTCCCCTTGGTCCTATCCTGGGTCTCCATTCATTCAATGATTCTCAAACCGTAAATATCATATGACGTCCAACTAAGGCCTGGCATCTGCTTCAGCTAGATCAAGAGACCATGTCGCCACCCAACTGTGACAGGCAGGGAAGTCTCTACGCTTGGTGATTTGGGACCACCTAACACCCCCAGGCTGGGATCCGACCTCACTATTCTCAGGGTCCTAGAAAATAGCCACCATGTTCCTTTGATGATTTGAGATTGCTCTGGTTATCAGGAGGTCATAAGCCCCAGCTACGCCCCTGCAGTGAGGATAGCCAATGAATGGTCCGGGATGAGGTGGTGGCAGTTCTAGAAGAGTGAAATGGGAAGGTCATGGTCCTGGGTGGCAGGGATATGTCAGATCCTTCCAGCTGAGTGTGGGATCCCATTTGCCCTGGTAGCTCCTTTTGATCCGGGAACCAGCTTCAGGTTCAGCAATAATCAATCAGTTGCCTATCTTCAGGCTTGTCTCTGTGGTCTTGCTTAGCAGTGCCGTTGGCAGACACCAAGATAAGAAACAGGCCAGGATACCTTCTGCCCTGTCAGTGGCAGACAGAAGTAAAAGCCTAACCTCCCAGGTCCCTGGGGCACTCTGTGGTGAGAACCTGAGAATCCGTAGCACCTACACTGCTGTCTATTAGTTTCCTGCAGGTGTTTGATCCCTGCAGGCAGAAGGTGTTTATAGTTGTTAGGAAACGGAATAAGAAACCTGGCAGGTACTAATCAGGCAGGGCCAGTGTGTCAGAGCTGGAGACCCAGGTTCAGGTGGTACCTGTGGCCTCAGTTT